AACTTTGAGTTTATATGTCAAAATTCTGAAATTTTTCTCACAATTCTGAAAAAAAAAAACATAGATTTGCATTTCTTTTATATACAGATTCTCCAGTCACACTTGTAAAGAACATAACACTGATGTCTTCACTTCCAGGTCAAGAAGCTATCAATCAAAAACTCACCAGCCAATGAGAACCCACCACTGCTAACCCCGCCCCCATGAGGGATTTGTGCCAGAATGGCAAACAAAAACTCAGGTAGCGTAAATGAAAACTTCAGATGCATTAGCAAAGTTAGCAAAGCATGCAGTGTATTTAAATACGAAGTCATACATTTTTTTCCTAAGATATTTTATTCATTTTCAGTTTAGATTTTCATTAGTTTTTTGAGAAGTTGTGTTCAAAATTAAAGGCACAAATCCGATTCCAAAAATTCGGAGAAAAAAGTCTAAATTGTGAGATGTAAATTCAGAATGTGAGTTTATGACTCAGAATTCTGAGGAAAAAAAAGTCAGAATTGTGAGATAAAAAGTTGCATTTACCTGTTTTTATTATTTCATTCTGTGGTTGAAACAAACTTTCATGAGTAACACATTAAATTAAACAATTTTCTTAAGTAGAAAGACTGAAATATTTTATTGTAAAAACTACTCCAATAATCTGTTTTATTTACTTCGAAAAATCCTTTTTTACACTGTAGAAAAAGTATGTTGTGAATTGAGTGTGTTCTGGGTGAATCTTACCGTAGATCTTCTGGATGCCCTGCAGATCATCATGTGGCAGTCTGAAGTTCTCTGTGTCCATGTACTGGTAGAAGGGGGCCATGATGGCAGTGGGGTCGTTAGAGTGCTCCAGGCCTAACGCGTGACCCAGTTCATGTACTGCCACCAGGAAGAGGTCGTTCCCTGTACACACAAAATACACACATAAGCTAATTAAACACTGAGACCTATACTGCAGCACAAATAAAATCTTTTAAATCACTGTAAATTATTAAGATAAAAGTACCACATCTTGGTTAAGTTGCCATTAATACTCTCATCCTGTGTGAACAATTTAGTATGATTCCTGAAACAATGACTCTTATGAATCAATTCATTTGAGGGAATCAAGCCGGTTTGTTTTAGTGAATCAGAAACATACAGTCTGAACTTTGTAGTCTGATTCCCAAATGAACAACTCTTAACGAGCCATTTCATTTTTTAGTGAATCAAAATGAACAAATGATTCTTATGAGCAAGTTCTTTTTCAGTGTATCAAAACAAGCGATTTTTACAAGCTGGTTCTTTTTTTGTTAGTTAAAAACAAACACAGTATGACCACTGTAATCCAATGACCAAATAAACAACTCTTAGAAGCCATTTTTTTTGTGAATCAAAGCAAACACATGATTCTTATGAGCTGGTTCTTTTTATCCAAAGTCGCTAAATGAATGTAAATGTATTCTATTTTTATTTATTTATTTGTTTGGTAAATGAAAGCAAACCAATGACCCTCATGAGTTGGTTTCTTTTTTAGTGAATTAAAAACATACAGAGTGACCATTGTTGTCCAGTAGTCCAATTATAAAATTATCAAATCTAACAAGCTGTTTTGTTTTTTTAATTCAAAGCAAACAAATCATTCTTATGAACCAGTACTTGTTACCAAATTGAACCAAAAACAAACTAATGACTTTTATAGACTGGCTCTTTTTTAGTGAATCAAAATGAACAAATGACTCTTATGAGCTGGTTCTTTTTTAGTGAATCAAAATGAATTAATGACTCTTATGAGCTGATTCTTTTTTGTGAGTCAAAAACATACAGTTCGATCCTTTGTAGTCCGATTCTCTAATGAATGACTCTTATGAGCCATTTCTGTTTTTAGATCAAAACGAACCAATGATTCTCATGAGCTGTTTTTTTTTTTTCTTTTCAGGACCCAAACAACTATCTACATTTTTCTTCTTGCAGAATATCCTGTTTCACATGACAGATTACATAAACAACATGGTTTATGAACATCATTTCATGTTTACTTCAAACAGTATTATTTCAGAATTTGTTCTGAGCGGTAATAATGAGGATCCAATTCTGATATTGTTATGTATATTTCATACTGAATCATAAGACATATATATGTACCCAGTCAGTGCTAGCTCACACATGAGAACAAAAAGAAATAAAATCCACTACATTTACAGCAAATGTGTCAGAGCGCATAATGTTATGTCAAAATCAAAGTTGCTGTCTGCCTGTGTGCATGTGGTTGTTTGTGTGCGTAATTGTTATCCATCTCTGTTTCCACTCCAGAATAACTCATCCAGAGTAACCACAGCTACTGCTGGGATTCATTAAAGTATGAACCCTGTCACTACACACCCTCACATCAAACATCCACGCAGTGCATCTTCCCTCTGTGCACAAAAGGAAAACCCCACCCTGCTTGTCCCGTGATGGTTAGGAGTGGGACTTTACGCCACAGGCCAGAAAACAGTCCAAACACCAAAGTAAGGCAGACGTTATGCGACGGTAAATGAGGAACGCAGAGGACAGAACGCCCATGACGGCCACATCAGCAGCTAAAGACAGACATCTGTCTTTTCTCTTCTCCTTCAGTTGTGACTCACTCCGTCTCTCTATCTTTTCCTCTTTTATCTGCTGACACCAATGAATATGACACATTTTTTATTCAGTCAACTTGTGTTTTATTTAAACTGCTCGGCGCAGGAGATGCAGATCAAATGATGCGTTTTGCATTCCTGGATATTTCTGTCTATTTCTGCGCACAGAACGTCGCCCTGGAGAATTTGCCGGCATTAAAGCTGACGGCTGCAAAATGCTCCAAAATACACAATTGACCAAAAATGCTACTGAGCAAACAAAACACACGAGACCAGTTACAGTTCTGTTATCAGAGAAAAATATTAGTTTGGTAGGGTATTAGAAGGAAACAAACTGTATGTAGCGTACACAACACAAGCAATATTAAGAATTTATGTGTAATGGGACAGCGGGAGTGCGAGAACGAGATCTAAAGAGACTTTGTAGTAAGATAGAAAGTGGGTTGCATTGGAACTGTCTGAAATGAGAGAGATCACTAGTAGTATTTTTCAAAACCTTTCTGCATAAATCATCCCTTGCTGTTTAAGCCATGGACGTAAATGACACTGAAATCCTAGACATAAATATAAGGAGGGATCTGAGCCATCTAAAGCTGTTTACTAAAGATTAGTTAAATCTGTTTTCTTTTGATTATAGAGATAGTTCACTCAAAAATTTAACTGTTTTACAAGTAAAAGATGACAGAATTTTCATTTTTGGTTGAACTGTCCCTTTAAGACAGGGTAACCACCCAGCAACCACATAGCAACATGCTAACAAGCACTCAGAACCTCTTAGTAACCACTTAGCCATGGCCGCCCCAAAGCAGGCAAAACACCACTTTTGTTATAAAATAAAAAAAATAGCCCATTTATGCTCTTTCCACTGAAAAAGTGGATAAAACCAGTGCAAGATATGAATCAGAAACATAGAGCAAGACCGGTATAGTTTGATTCCTGAACAACTGACTCTTATGAGTCTTGACTCAAAAACACACAGTGCATCCAGTGTACTTTAAGGCCGGGACACACTAAGCTTACAGTCGGCCATCGGCAAGCATCTGTAGGGCTAGTTTTTTGGTGTGTTCCACATGTCAACTCTCGTTGGGCTCACATCAGCGGCAGTTTCCCCGATTCAACATGATGAATTGGCGTTGGGGCCGTCGGCGAGAGTGAGACCTCTGATTGGATGCTCAGTTTAGCGAGCGAGTCAGTGTACGAGAATTAAAGCGAAAGAGATGAAAACGAGCAAGTAAATGAAGGCGGCACACACAGATGGCTGTTGTAATGTTATGTGATCTTACCCAAGCATTCCAATATGCGAATATTTTCATAACAGCATGAGCCACTTAAAATGAAGAAAGTTATCAGCATAACTGATATTCAAAATCTGCGTATATCTCGTATATCCTTGTTTCAGTTTCTCCTTTTGAATGACGAATATATACTATTGATAGCTATTGATATAGACAGTTAATTCCTCTCATGCAGGTGCAGAACGCACGTGTTAGTTTGCGGTCGACTGTAGTCAGAGTGGTGTGTTCAAGCGCAGATCTTTGGTCCAGATGCCACTGACTCGAGGCGACAATACCATCAGATTTCGTCGCCGTTAGTTTTTTGAAGCCTGCCGAATTATTACCTATCTTGTTCAAGTCGCTACCTGATTTCCTAATCCTAACTCCACCCCTAATACGAAACCCTCCCCCACACCTACTCCTAAACCTACCAATACTAGGGGGTGCATAATCTGGCGGGGGGTCAGAATTAGAGCAAGACCAGAGGTGCATTTCCCAAAAGCTACTATGGTCCTAAGTTCCTTAGTTACCAACAGAGTTCAACGGAACTTGCAACCATAGTTAGCTAACAATGACTTTGGGAAACGCACCCCAGAATAGTTCAGTTCCCAAATGAATGACTCTGGTTCAAATGAGTGGGTTCATTTTTTAGTGAATCAAAAGTGCAACCATTGTTGTCTGATTCACAAATGAATGACTCTTACAAGCCATTCTTTCTTTCTTTCGTTCTCTCTCTCTCTCTCTCTCTCTCTTTCTTTTGCGAATCAGAATGAAAAAATGACACTCATTAGCAGTATTTGTAAATCAAAATGAACAAACTATTCTTATGAACCAATTCTTGTTTAGTGAATGAAAACAAACAAATACCCAAAAACGAAACAGTGTTCCGCGGAAAATAGAATGTCCTATGAATTTGGAACAAATTGAGGGTGACTATATGATGACAGAATTTTTATTTTCAGGTGAACTGTCCCTTTAAGGCAGGGTGTAAACATCCATCAACCACACAGTAGCTTGCTCAGGCCCAGCACTGCGGTTCTCCCAAGATGCTCCTGCTAAAGTTCAATCCAGAACAGCTGTGTTTGAACCATCACAACTCTTACGTAAGACCCAAGACCCTGATTAATTAGCAGGCAGCTGAAAGGCAAGTGCATAGATCAAAAAGAGGAGAATAAAAGCAAAGTGATGGGAAACTAAAATGGGAAACGGACATGAAAAGACTTTGCTCAATTTGTCAAGTCCACTGACCTCAATCTGGGAATTACCTTTCCTTCACCCATGCTAAAAATGTAGATGTCCAAATACTCAATAAAACATGGTAATACCACAGTGCTATAATATTTACCATGGTACTGGATGATTAGTAGTAAATGATAATGCTATGGTACCTTGATATATACTATTTTACTGAATAATTACCATATAAGTGAGTGACGTTACGTGTGGCCAAGTATGGTTACCCATACTAGGAATTAGTGCTCTGCATTTAACCCATCCTTAGTGCACACACACAGCAGTGAACACACACACACCGTGAACACACACCCGGAGCAGTGGGCAGCCATTTATGCTGCGGCGCCCGGGGAGCAGTGGGGGGTTCGGTGCTTTGCTCAAGGGCACCTCAGTCGTGGTATTGAAGGTGGTAGAGAGCGCTGTACATTCACTCCCCCCACCTACAATTCCTGCCGGACCTGAGACTCGAACTCGCAACCTTTGGGTTACGCGTCAGACTCTCTAACCATTAGGCCACGACTTCCCCAATCGTGGAATATCCCCAATATTCATGTACAATGGTATTTACATGGAGCTTCAAAGTTCTTAAAAGAATAATATGATTTTACCTAAAACCATGGTAGTTTGATATATACCATTGTACTAAATCATTACCATGTCCAAAAAGCAAGGTAATAGCATGGTACTTTGATATACGGTGCTGAATAAATGCCATTGTTTTTCCATGGTAATTGTACAAAAACATGGTAATACTGTGGCAATGGCAATTTCCACATTAATATACCATGACACT